CCATCAGTGTTTATGTTTACCCACTAATTGCTGGGGGAAAGTTGTCTGAATGAATTGCTGTCTTAAGAAAACACTAGTTCTTTTAGCAGTCTTGTAACAGTACTCAGCCGACATGGCAGATCTTGGCTGGAATTTAGAAAAAGAAAGAAAGAAAGACTCTACAGCTGTGCTTTAACAACTGTCTTATTTAGTAATTTTCAAAATGGGAAAGGCATTATCAGATGAAAGAATTACAATTCAGATTTTACAGGTGTAAACTGTAAGGTTTAGTACTTTTTACATTGGAACCACATGAGCTTTTGAATCTGTGACTGCCTAGTGGTGGACAAAACGGCGACAACTCCAGATGTCTTTATCAACGCAGATACACAAAAGCATCAATATATTTTATATGGTCAACATATCAGCATATAAAACCATCTATGTATCATTTGCTTAATTTTTAGTATGCAAATATCAATGTGGTCAGAGGTGATTTGTATAATTAACTGAGCCATGACTGTACGAAGAATCAGATAAATGCTCTTAATTTACATTTTTACAATCCTGAGAGGTAACATTTAACACCTAAGCTCCATGATTAGCAGGCGACTCGGGAGTCTTCAATTTTGCAGAAAAGGATGTACTATAGATGTATTTGTAGAATTGGGGAAATAGACTAGAATAGTGTTTATTGCATTAGCCCATCAACCATACCAGCAGACTTGGGGAAATAATAATTAAAAACCCCTCTCTAGTCACTTTAAAATTTGTCCTGTACAATCCAGAAGTTGATGTTATTAGGACTAGTATGCCTAGCTTGACAAAGCAAGGTTATTTATTCTACTCTCATATAAGTAGATCCTACTGATAATTGTGAGAAATTGAAATATGACATGGATACAGTCATAACAATTCCACCTATTATGGCTGCTGAAAACAGCACAGCCAGAAATGCAGAAATTGCTCCCAGCTGCTAGGCTGTGTTATCTCTTCCTTCATAGTCTAGTTTCTCCATGCAGATACTGGAACATGCATGGCTGAGGATAGGCTGTGGCCACTCGTGTACAAGAGAAAGTGACCACGTGGTAAGAGTTTCAGTGCTTAATAAAAAACAGACTCCCTTTTTCACAGACTCATGTGAAATCGCCTGAAAACTTTTCAACATTCCTTTTAAATTTATTATCCTCCAGGAGCCTCTCGTGAACAAGCACCCTCTTGTGTAGCATCCATTCATTTCAGCAGGTTGGCGACATTGGTAGGAAGAAATCACTTGGCTGGTATATGCAGAGCAGAAGTTCCCAGGGCATTGTACTCACCCTGCTGTCCACTTTGCAACTGAGAATCATCAGGCCAGGTGGAGCAACTGGAGCAAAATCATGAACCGCAGCCACTCCAGCATCTTTCAAAAGCAGGAATGGCGTATTTTAATGCCCACACCCAAATAACATGTGAATTGATCGGTTGAAAGAATTCTGCTCTTGGTGGCTGGAAAATTGTTCATGAGCAGCTAATTTGATTTCTGAGTATTATTCTAGATAAGTTGTTGTCACAATAATATCACGGTTCTGCTTAAGCCCAGAGGTGCTTATCAGTTAAAGCAGGTGGGGCTGACCTGTTTTTCTGTACTCCTTCAGAATACAGAAGGGCCACATGTCGGTTGTGGGCGAGGCCAAAGCCAGCAGTAGTGGGATGGACAGAGCCAAAAGTGGGCAGGGCCACCTCATTTTCTTTCTCTTTCTACTAACTTCTCTTTGTTTTTGACATCCCTCACTTCTCTTCTTCTATACCTAGCAGGCTGCCATGGAAAAACAGATCATTCTTGCCAGAGATATTGTAGAAGGCTTGTGAAAGCTGGCCCAGGGCTGCATAATATTAGGCCAAGGGTTGCCTACCCCAGACTTAAAGGGAGGGACTAGGGGATGCATTGTGCCCTAAACATATTGAGGTATGAAGTGCTTTTTTCTGGGGGAATGCAGGGGTATGCATACCCCTAAACATTTTGTGAATCTAAGTTTGGCCTCATTGAGGGGCAGTAGTTCAATATGAGTAGGAAAATGAGAGTACCGCTAAACTTTTTTTTTTTTTTAAGGAAAAAAAGCACTGAAGGTATGTTTTCAAGTATTCAATTCCAGGCACTCAGGAAATCAATGGAACTACTCCAGTGTAAGCACTTAGTAGAATGAGTACAATGGCTTGGCAGTCATTTCAATAAATTTAGGCTGAATAGAAAGGGATAAGATTCAGTATTCATTAAGTTCAGAAATTTCCCTGCATGCTGTCCAACATCTTGTCTAACATGCAAAATGCAAAATCTAAGCTTAAAGACCTGTCAACAATTACAAGTTGCTTGTTGCCAATGCACATTGTCTCTGCTTGCCCTGAAGGATCAGAAGGCTTATTTACATGACTTGGCTCACGCCTAAGTAAATATCAAAGCTAAAGCACTAACCAACACTTATGAAGCATTTTTCTTTTTTTAGTTAACATTACTTGATGGTGGGTTAACTGCAGTTATTGAGAGGTTTGATTCAATCTAGTCAAGACAATTAGGAGACAATAACTGTTTATTTCTCTAGTCCTTTCTCCAATAAAAGGATGAATTCCACAAAAGGCTTTAATGTACAACATAAGTCTCTAATTTGGTGTAATACAGTTTCCCTTTTTAAAAACTGCTGAATGCCCAATGCTATAATTAAAATTAAAGCCATATTCAACTGCTAGAGGGTCAGTTTAAAAAAAAAAATCAAACCTACCATTTTTACTCTGAAAAGCCTGAAAACAGACATCTTTCAGGCTGACAAAAGGCACTCTGTCTGCTAGCCCTGAAATGGGCTTTAGAAATAGCAGAGTGTTATACAGGAGTTGTTCAATTTTCTCCCACACACATTCCAATGGATCCCCCCCCCATCTTATTATGTCATATATTGTGAATTTAAATGTAGTTCATTAAGAGAGAAAGAAAGTGAGGGGAGTCCAAAAATTACCCCTATTTCTTAATGTAAGTTTGACAAGTCATCCCATAATTTTGCCATTGGATGTAGTTTTTTCAATGAAATACTGTTAGGATTTGCATTCTTTGGACAGCAAGAAGCCAAAAGATTTGCCTAAGCCTTATTTAGCTAAGCCATCTTGTCCCTCCTACTGTTCAATGTGCACATTCAGCCTCTTAGCAAAATACTGATAGGTTTGTTTATTTACGTATTTCTATGCCACCATATCATAAAATATCATGGCAGTGTGCAGCTATAAAACATAAAACACAATTTAAAACAATAAAAATATATAATTAAAGTGCCCAGTTAATCAATGTTAACATCTGTGTATGCCTTGTTAGCATAAAAAGGCCTTCAAGAGACGTGTGAAAGTCAAAAGGACGCCTGCCAACTCTCTGCTGGAAGAGTGTTCCACAGTATGGGACTGGTGGTACTAAATGCCCAACTTCTAGTGGAGACCAGTTCAGCCTCTGTAACATGGGGAATAAATTGTATAGTATCTTCATTGTATAGACTCATCTATTACCCCAGCCTCCCTCATCTTAACTAACCCAAGACCAGCCAGCTCTGTACTTGACTAGCATCCATATAACCCTCAGTTGTAAACAATTGTGTGTGTGCTTCAGTGTTTGTTTGTTTGTTTGTTTGTTTGTTTGTTTGATGATTCACTGTCTTTCAGATTCTTTGAAAGAGAATCTCAAGTCTCTTCACCAGATGCCAGAACAGTATGTTCAACAATGAATGGCTGCCCCACATCTCCTCCCGTCTCCTTGGAAATGATTAGTAGCTCTGACGTCATTTCCTGCCCTGCAAACATCTTCCAGTTGGGTCATGTTCAGTGCTTTTTTCAGGGGGTACTCAAGGATAAGCAGTACCGGCACCCTTTTTTTGTTGTTAACACTACTCTGAGCGTAACGTCATTGACTACCACCCATGGAGTGTAGCAGGGCAGAGGCACTGGCAAATCTGGGCTGAGGATACTCATGCCCCAAGTCTTTGGCATAAGGTTCCTGGCCAGGTGCTTCATGCAGCCAGTTGTCAGTTGTGCAGCAGCTGCAAGGTGGGCAGGCTGTATCCTGAAGGGTTATGGAGTCAGGTACAAGTGAGCATCAGCACTGCTGATCAGATGTTTGGTGGCTGCAAATGGGGAGCCAGTTGTGTGGACACACCTCAAGCATCTGAACAGTGGTCAAGAATTATTTGCTTTCTTTCCTAGCAGCCTTATCGGAGGGAGGATGAGAGAGGCCAGCTGTGATGGCAGCTCCCCCCACCAGACACTGCCAACACAGTTGGCCTCTCTCCTCCCACCAACCCTCATCCCACCCCAGTAAAGCTGCATCTCCTCACTGTTCATGTGCTTAGCCTGATGCCAGCTTCCAGCACATTCGCACGTGAGCTAGTCTGTTGTTTGGTCCCATTGGTGATGGAGAGACCCCATTACACTCCTACAGATCAATGTGACTTTTCAAGTTCTAGGAAAACTCATAAACACACACAAGTGTTGTTGTTTTTATCTCTCACTATCATTTTAAATGGGTGCAGAGTAATGGAAAGAAGCAAAATTGCATGTTGCTCTAGATCCAACAAATCATGCAAGAAGAATTACCAACGAAAGAAGAATGGAGGATGAAATTGATGGACTATGTAGAACTAGATAAATTAACAGGAAGGATTCGAAACCTGCGGGACCAGAGATTCTTAGAAGACTGGAGTAAATATACAAACTATTGGAAAAGTAATTGTAATGAACAGATTACACTAGTAGGATTGCAAGAAGTTTTGTAAGGATGATTATTTGAAATATTGCAAGAAAGACTATGAGGAGAATTATTAGTTAATGATAATTAAGAGTAATGGAGAAATTAAGAAATGCAGAATAAGTGATAAAGAACGGAAAATCATCATGGGTGTTGACGGAAGTCTAAAAATATTGTATAAGATAAGAAGTTATGTTATATGATTGTTGGAAATGATATGTTTAAAAAAACTAATACAAATAAATGTATGTATGTATGTATGTATGTATATGTGTGTGTGTATATATATACATATACATATGTGTGTGTGTATATATATATATATATATATATATATAACACAAATCATTCCATTTAAAACTTCGTCATGTAGCAATCAGCCAATCCTTTTATCAGTCTTTGAAGTGTTAGCCTTAGACCTGGAGGCCCACAGTCCCTGGCACATCAGAGCTGCAGAGAAGAAGCAAACTTTCCATCTTACCTGGCAAAAAAGGAAGCTGCCACTGAGGTGCCTGTTGACGTGTCACTGGCAACACAGGTGCTTTGGGAAGCAGGTAAGCTGTACAAGGAGGGTTTATCGGCATTGTAGCGGTTCAGGGCAGCTTCAGTCAATCCCTCTCGGCCAGTCTCAGTCATCAACTGGGAAATCTGAAGGAGGAAAAAAGGTACAGGCTCATTGGGTGCTATTTCACCTGACCACTACATCTTTTGGAAGGCAGGGAGAAGAGTATCGCATTCAGCACACTTCTGTGACCTTTTAAATGCATTTATTGGCTCTGCAATCCAGTTCTGTGGCACTTTGGCTAAGACTTTACCTCATTTCCATTAAAAGTAATGAGATAAAATAACCCCCTGACATTGTAAGTTTCCTTTATGGCTCTGAAGTTCCTTCTGTTTGGAGGAGAAAGTGTAAACCATTATCCTTGCTTCATTTGAGCACAGTGGGGAACTCAGAGGCATTAGTCAAAGCCTACTTATTAAAGGAAATCTGCACAAACATTCGCCAGTGTGGCAACGTAGCCGTGCATAATGCAAGTCAAAATAGGTTCTTGAGAACCAGACGTACCAGGCATCTCCATGTATTCCAAACATTTAGGAGATGTGACTCTGACTCAAGCAAGATGTTAATGTGTATTTTTCATATTACTGCCTGCAATTTCTTATGGGATAAAAAAAAAAATCAAAAGTAATTGAATCTAAAAAAACCCCATACAGTCCTGTAAAATGCTAGTTAACATAAATCTTTCTCATACATGTCAAATGGCATTGTCAGCATCTGTCCCATTTGCACCTCTTTCTCCCCAGCACCACCCCCAATTTCCCCCCTCAAAACCAAAATTGCCTGCAATTTATATTTATGCCGTGTAAAAAGTGACTGGCTCTTCATACCAGAATGCAAGGTTAAAAAAATAAAAAGCACTTCCCGTACTTGGCCAGGTCTATGGTAGCATTTATTTCCTGGTTGATTTGTTATGCAGTTGTGCACCAGATGCTTAATAGACAATATATTTTCTTACAAGGCCAGGTGTTACCCATTTGATGAACCTCATGTGCCTGTTTAGTAAAAGGTTTTGCATCCTCTCACTGATTCAGGCAATCTGACATCCTGAATATCTTAAACCTGACAGGTGACCAGAGCCCTGGCAAAGCAGGCTAGTATATAAGAAGTATATTCTCATCTACATGCCAAAATACTTTCTATTTACTTATCAGGTCCCCTTTTTTTGGTAGGGGGAGGCACTCTTATTATCAGCACCCTCCTTTTATGGCTAATACTATGACCTACCTATACCTTGATCCTACACTTACTTACTTACTTACTTACTTACTTACTTACTTATTATTTATTGAAGTGATATACCACCCATCATCCAATGATCACAAGGTGGTTTACAGTACAGGTAGCCCCCCATTTAGGTGCATTCAATATGTGTACAACCACGTATACAGTGGTACCACTGGATGCGAACGGGATCCGTTCCGGAGCCCCATTTGCATCCTGAAGCGAACACAACCCGTGTCCGCGTGGGTTGCGATTCACTGCTTCCACACATGCATCATTTTGAGCATCTGCGCATGCGCGAGCGGCGAAACCCAGAAGTAACACGCTCCGTTACTTCCGGGTCGCCGCGGAGCACAACCCGAAAAGGCTTAACCTGAAGCGATTTCAACCTGAGCTTTGACTGTACATGCATTGCACTGTATACCTGGAAGTGACCTGGAAATGTCATAAAGAGGTCACTGAAATGTCACTAAAAGGGCAGAATGGGAGTGGAGAAGGGGTGTTTCAGGCTTTTTCAATGGGTTTCCATTATAAGTGATTTCACCAATGCATACAGCGCCTCGGAATGTAACCCCCCCATATACGGGGGGGGGGAGGTGGGCTGCCTGTATATATTTACATAGAAAACAGTTGCCTTGCTTTCCGTGGACTGCATTTCCAAGCAAATATGCTTTGAACCTCAAACCACCTGTACACTGAACACTCCTTTCTGTCCTGATACCCAGTACTTTTGTGTTGTTGTTGTTTTAGACCAGTGGTGTAGTGGTGCAGGCTCATGGGGTTCAAAGACCTATTACTATTGCTGCAGCAATCAGTCCACAGTGGGAACTACTAAACAGAATGAAAAAATATTTCCTCCTCTGAGGAAGGGAAAGAGGTTACTAGGACTGATTGGCCATGGTACTTATCCTGCATTCTTCCTCTCATCTAATTCAACTGAGGTCACCGTTAAAAAATGAATCTGTTCACACAAAAGATCAAGAACTGACATATCTTCCCATTGAACAATGGAACAGATAAGTCAAGCTGCAAACAAGCTGACTTATCACTATTGCAAGCTGAAGTGCCGCATGACATACCCTCAACAGCAATTCCCACAGATGAGCTAAGCAATATTACGCAGCTCTTATTGGGATTCCACAAAAAAGGATTAAAATTACGAACTATTTAGCCACAAGTGTGGACTTTGCTATTTGGCCTTGTGCAGCACACAGAAACAAGCTTTATCCACAGTGAGACAAATGCATGTCAGGTTGACTTAAGTGACATTTATGGATGCCACAGGAAATAAGGGTTGTGTGTGTGTGCATGCTTAATATTAGTAAATAGAGAACCAGGCACCGGACTGCAAATTTCCCCCAGAAGGAATAGTCCATAATTTCTGCAAATTACCGTATTTTTCGCTCTATAGGACGCACTTTTTCCCCTCCAAAAATTAAGGGGAAATGTGTGTGCATCCTATGTAGCGAATGCAGGCTCCTTGGCTACAGCGATAGCAAAGCAAAGCCTCTGAAGCGCAAAGGGAGTGCTCCCTCCATGCTCCGGAGGCTTCGCACTGCTTTCACTGAAGCCTGGAGAGTGAGAGGGGTCAGTGCGCACCGACCCCTCTCGCTCTCCAGGTTTCAGGGATAGTCACCTGAAGCCTTCAGAGTGCAGTGTGAGTTCCCGCTGCGCTCCGCAGGCTTCAGGTTCCTTTCGCTGAAGCCAGGAGAGCAAGACTCTCCTGGCTTCAGCAGAGAGGGAGAGCTGCGCAGCACCCCTTCAGCCAAGAGGGAGGAGAAATGGAAGGGGCTCTGTTTCTCCTGCTGCTTTGCTGAAGGGGCGCTGAGCAGAGGGGGGAGAATTTTTTTTTCTTGTTCTCCCCCTCTAAAACAAGGTGCGTCCTATGGTCCAGTGCGTCCTATAGAGCGAAAAATACGGTAGCTTGAAAACATTATACTGCATTATACTTCAGTGCCTTCAGTCAGTTTAAACCAAGAGAAAAGTGTGCCCATATTCTCCTCTCCTCTCACTCTGTGGAAAATAGAACAGCAAAATACACACGCACAGACTTTTCATAAAAGAGTTGCTTGGTCTTCTGATATCGTTCTGAAAGCATGCTGCAGTTCAAAAAGGAAATCAGACAAATAGTTTCTCTATTCCCTCACCCATGTGTTCCGCCAGCAAGGTCATTCTTTGTGTGCAAAGATTTAGAATAGGTTAATGGGATAAGTTTTGAGTGGGGCCTTTGTTAATGTATTGGCAGCACATCACTGCCTAGATCAGCAACAATAGACAAAACATAACAGAATGCAATTCTTTCATGCTGTATAATAATAATAACAAACACTTCTAAGTGCATGTGGACAACACATATGTTCTTCCCAAATTCACATTCCTTGTTCTGTCTTGTGTGAAGTATAAAAACCACACGCCCTTTCTCCACCTATTCCCTTCCAGCTTGACAATAGCAGTCACTGAACATTGGTTTCTTTTAAGATCCTGTGGGATAACTGGGTACAGTGAATTTTTTTGAAGCAGGCAGACACTGCTAAACAGATCTACCAAAAATAAATAAATTGTCGCTGGGGTTTTTATAATATAATTTGATGACAGGTATCATTAGTAAGCAGCAATGTATTAACAACAGGCCACAACCATGGTGGCAAAATAAGTAATATGTGAAACAAGAAATCTCAGTGCTTTTTTGAGAATAACTTTGCATTATTTGTTCCCAGCATTTGGCTCAACTTGACCTCTGTCATATCCTACCTCTCCTGACATAAAATAGGTGCCTCTGTCCCTCATCTAAAGCAGTTTGACCTTGCAGTAACAGATGCCTAGAACAGTCACCATCACAGCACCCCCAAGTGGCTACATTTAGGTACTTGGTACTTTGGAAAGCTTTCTTGGGATATACGGCGCTGTCATGTTTTTGAGATTTTTCTCTAAAACAGTGAGGTCTAGAAACTTTATTTAAAATAATTAAAGCTGCTATTTATGGGGTTATAGCTAACAACTTGAACATAATCTTTTCCCCATTGAGGGCAATTGGTTGTTCCATTATTCTATTTATATTCCACCTTTCCTCCAAGGTGTTCAGGATAGCAAACATAGTTCTATCCCTCCCCACTTTATCTTCATAACAAGGTTAAAGTGAGAGGTGGTAACCAGTCTAAGGTCACTCAGTGAGCTTCATGGCTGAGTAGGGATTTGAATCCTGGTCTTCCAAGTTTCAGTTCAACAGTGTAAACACCATACCATACTGGCTCTCTAAGTAATGGTATAGTGCTTTTTCTTTGTGCTCAGAGAACTTATTATGCAGTAATCCTTACAATCATCCTATAAGGTAGGCCAGCATTATCAGCATACTACTGGTGGAGACTGATAGTAGTTTGCCTAAGGTAAGCGAGATAGTTCATGGCTTAGCTAAATTTGAAATGGATCTTTAAGCTTATTATTATTATTTATGTTTTTATCGTGGCCAGTCTGACAATGGATCCCAGGGCAGCCCAAAATATATATAAATAAACAATAAAAATAAAATAAAACATATTTTAAACATTTAAAAACAATTTGAACCCA